TCTCTTTCGATCACTGGACCCGGAAATTATGTGTATTACATCACTTCTGGTGTAGTCCTCATGGACGCCATGTAACTAGAATTTTCAGGAGAGGATAGCCTTAGTCTTAAAGTGGAACTGAACTCAACAAGTGAAGATTTGCTATGTTTTAGGGAACAGTTCTATTTAAGGTACTGCTGCCCATGACTGCTAGTCTCAGGAGATTTGGAGTGGGATTAATCAATGTCACTACTGTGCTGTTCGCTGTTCTCCTTGCTAGAGGCTCTGACATGAAGAAGCAAAAGCCCTAGCCTCTAACAAGATGGCTGCCCCCACACAGACAAAGTGCATAACAGGCATGGTAAGTTAGTAATAGGGAAAGATCAGCAGCAGGGGGACCACAAGCAATACTGTTGACTAATCCTTTGCCCTCTACCTGCCCTATTTTGGGGACAAGTTCCAGAAAATTCCTCTATAATAAAGAGGAAGCTGGAAAGTGCCAGGAATACAGTTGTCTTAAAGACTTCTGGGATAACACCAACTAGGATGAGACTGGAAATGGATTTGGAAAGAAGGAGGGACAAGAAGCGTGCTGCATTCATTTGTGACCAGAGAAAGATGTAAATGCACCAAAAAGCTTTCATGAACCAGGTAAATGGTTAAAGATTAATTTAGTGTTTTATAATATATGAACAAGTTTGCATTGACAACTTTCTTCCATTTCCCACATAAACTGAGAAGCTATTTCTCTGTATTTCATTATACGTTTTAATTAAGCCCTTTTAATGAAGTCATTTATGTTACATTTATGCTTTAAAATGTGGAGGCTTCTGATTAGAAAACAATATTCATATAAACATTTATTTAAAAATATAATTATTTTAATTAATGTGGTTTCATGTTTTATTTTGTATGAAAAGCTTCTTTGTGCGTTTTAGATTTTATCACAGCCTATTGTGTAGGATAAAAGCAAATTGCAAACCTTAAAAAGAATATGAGCAGCAGAAAGAGCCTTTATGAAAATGTATCTCAGTGACAGTTACCCTTCACTTCATGTCACCATTAGCTGAGGACCAACCTGTTCTGTCATTATACTGCTGACACTGTACAACAGGTTGTAGCTTGCTGGCACTGGCTTCCATATGTCTCCACATCTGTGAACGGTCAATTCAACCCACCATCCGAGCAGTCCAGTCTTGCCAAGGATCTTGCTTGGAGCAAGTTTTCAAGGAGAGGAGAGTGCACATCTTTTAGCTGTCAGGATTCAGCGTATCAGAACAAAATTATTTTACCCTTGGTTTATCCACTAACTTTCTGCATTTTCTAGACAACATGTAGAGGAATGCTGAATGTATTTGTTGCTGCCATCTCATTATTTAATAATTAGATCTGTTATCCATAATGTTCCGGACCTCAAGGTTTTTGTAAAAGGGACCTTTTTTTTCTTTGTACTTTAGTATTATTCCTGATTTAAATACCGTCATCGGCCCTTCTCACTCATTACTTAGCAAACCCTTTTTTAACTACTTGGTTATTTAGTAGATTGAAAGCATTGACATAAATATCTTAAACCTCTCAGATTGGCTCAATGCTTTTCTTCTTCAAAATGAAGAAAGGTAGGTACTAAAAACTATGGCAACCTACATGTCAGATTGTAAGGAGAAGAAATAATAATTTTTGTTCTCCATATTTGATTAATGGTAGTAGGTTGCTGGATTTACCCAATATCCGTCATTTTCATATATGTAGGTGACTTTTTATTGTGCATGTATATGTATAGAGAGATATGGATAGATACTGATGATTCAGGCCTGTGATAGTGTATGCATAACTTTTATTTATATTTTTTTTTATGTGTACCATTGGGGAAATTTCCATTCACTTCCTGTGCCAAAGATGCAACCAGAAGTTAAAGGATTCCCCTCTTAGACAATTGTCCCCATTGGAAGAGTTTTCTTTCTTGTTCTGGGGACAACTCAAAAATGTTGGCTTTCTCCCCCATTTTTTTGGTGACAGTGGCCAACTAAAAAAAAGGGTTGAATCTCCCTAGTGGAGACACAGACAGTAATAAAATCTTGACAATGGAGTAACCTTTCCCCACTCTATTTATCTGTCAATGCTAAGCATGGCTTCAGACCTGGGGTAGCATTGACAGACATGCACATTACATCCTGGGATAGTAAAAGGGGGACACTCTGACAGGCTGGTGGTCATGTGACCACTGATAAACTTCACAAAAGGTATTTTATAGACTTTTTTGTAGTAGTAGTAGTAGGTTTATGTACCAATAGAACATTTGTATATCCTTGCAGAGTTGACCTACATTCAAATACTGTATTTTTTAACTTCAACATGATTAGTTGTACTAGGCCACTAATATTCCCTCTTCTCTAAACTATTACACACTGCTAATTACAACATGCCAAAACATTTCTGGTGTAATTTTTTTATTTACCAAATGCAACTATTTTATTGGAAAGCTGTTTGAAGAGTAGAGCATTTAGTTTGAGAAATCGTAACAATATCAATTAAATGTAAATAAATGAATGCTACCAAGTGAAGATATATGTACACTATTAGTTCATTTTCAATTCTATGATTATTTTAACTCTATTTGGTAAAAGGTTATCTCGAACTATGTGCTATTTTAGGAATTTCTAATAATAGTTGTGAACATAGAATTAAACTCTCAGTGACAGTTACCCTTCACTTTGTGTCACCATTAGCAGAAAGCCAACTTGTTCTGTCATTATACTGCTGACACTATACAACAGGTTGTAGCTCACTGGCACTCGCTCCCATATGTCTCCACATCTGTGAGCGGTCAACTCTCCCAACCACCCGAGCAGTCCAGTCTTGCCAAGGACCATGCTTGAAGCAAGCTTTGAAGGAGAGGAGTGCATATCTTTTAGCTGTCATTTCTTAGTGTATCAGTGCTCACACTGGCTGCCTTCTTTCTGACAGAAGCAATTCTGTAAAACCCAATTTAGAAGGCTTAGTCTGCACGTAAGACAAAAAAAAGGAATAGAGAATGTGTTTTTTCAGTATTTTGAACACTGAATACTTTTTTTCTATACCATATTCTAGTTTTCTTGTTACATCCAAAAAAAGCAATACATCCAGTGTGTATCTTATAACAGCATACCAAATAAAAATAAAATAAAATAAAAAAAATACTTTTAAAGTGAAATGTTAGCAAAAACCTTTTTGATTTCTTAATAAAGAAGGGTTGGAACCTCCGTCAGGTTTTTAGCCATGTATAATTTTTTTTTGTAGATTTAGTGTAAGGCCTCTTTCTGTTGCAATATTTTTATTAGAGTTTTACAGGGGTAAGCCCTCTTTCACACTGACATGTTACTCTGTACAGCATGAAAGGCTGCTGGTTGATGCGCTTGAAGATGCGGGAAGAAGCATGCAGGCAGCTCATTTAACTCTTTGTAGAAACAGGAGCTGTGCACTTTCCGCAGCTCTGAATTTTGTCACACCGATGATGTAAAGACCTGGACACATCTGGTGTGCATCTAAGACTCCATTCACACATGAGCGGTTTTCCATGCGTATTTGGCCATACAAATACGTGCGGAACCGCGCTAAACATAAAAAAACAATGCATTGCCATGTGCATTGTTTAGACTATTGCGGTGGCCGCGTGGTATGTAACCGTGCGACCCACAAAGTAGTCCAAGCGGATTTTAAGGGTAGTTTCAGCACGTTCTAGCTATAGTATTAACGTGCGGAATCTGCGCGCATGTTGGCGTTTGTGCGGTTTCGTTCTGCGTGGTTTTCCATGTGAAAAACCATGCGGAAACGCTACTGCTATGTGTGAATGGATCCTTAGGCTGCACACTGTGTTGGGCTATCAAAACTCAGAGCTGCGGAAACCAGCATGTGAGGGTGCACAGCTCATGCATCTTCATATAGATATATGCCAAAACATTAAAAAAAAAAAAACATTACCAAAAATGTTATTACTTAGCCTTGTCAGAAGATCTGGAGCTTCTCGAGCGGCCGAGGAGGTTGATGGGGTGTGCGCATGTGCAGTGTGGATGTACGGCGGGGAGAAGAGGAGAGACAGCGGAGGTGAATCCATGAAGCCGTGAGCGTGCACGTTGGCAGACACCGTGGGACCCGAGGAGTGTGCGCTGTATCAGAGACTGGCACCAGCGCTGGAGGGACTTCTCAATACAAGTGGAAGGAAGCAGATGATTGGATCAAGAGGCATAATTTAAGGTAAGTCTGTTAGCAAGGGACTGTATTATCAGTTTCCGGGCTGTAAGGGACTATATGGAACTCAGAACAGTGTATTTTTTTTTGTCATTCACGTCAAGAAAGTATTCTATACAGCATACTCTGGTAGTACTGTCAAATGTCCTTATGATTTTATGTAAAGTGTATTTTTTTTTTTTATTCCACTATAACCTAAAACTAAAATACCCTACAATTTTACCTAGTGATTCCTTATCTCGCTGGCGCATAAAATATCCCACAAGGAATTACACTTTATTCATCATGGTGAAGAAATCTCTGGATCAAAAACAAATGATTCGGTCTAAAAATGCTTGCACTGTCTGGGGAGGAGCATTGGTCCTAGTCCCACCTGTAGGACCCTACCACCACCCCAAATACTAGCCTCTTCCCTGCCATTCAGGAGGAGAGGTGCTTATTTTCAGCTTGAAGAGATGTTGAGCTTCTGGGTACAGACTGGACCTAGGATCTAGGGTCCTGCACAGGTAGGGAGGAACTGATTTTTAGACAAGTGCAGAGAGTGTGACTGTTATGATGGGTGGGCATGACAGCAGAGCAAAGAAGTCTGTTGGGGAGTGATTAGTGATTTCAAGATATATAAGAATCCACTGATATATTCCACAGTTCTCATAAAATTAGAATATCAGTTTTCGATTGTTGTTGTGTTTTTTAAAGACTGTTTTTTCTGCTTCATTTTTCAGATATAAAGAAACCATAATAGTACTTGTAGTCAACTAGTTACAGGGTTCAATATGAGTAATTTATATCATTTACAGGGCTCCAAAGTTTAAAACCTTTCAGCAACAAGACAGCCAAGAACTTCTTCACTATTTACTAGATGCCCTACGTATAGAAGAAACAAAGGTATCTTTTTCTCTTTTCTTTGACACTTTGTTCTTTGTGAAACTGTCTCTCATGTTTAAACATTGCATATGATTTAGTAACCTCAATTCCCAGTAATTCCTTTGCTTAATGTAAAGACCATATACCCATATCTGTGATATTTAAAGTGACACTAAACTCAGGAGTTAAATCTTAAAAATGCATTCAAGTACCTTAACCACTTGAAGACTGGGGTGTTAAACCCCTGTCCTGGCCAGGCCATTTTTCAGTATTTAGGGCTGCAGTACTTGACTGACAGTTCGCAGTGATATGTAACATGTGCGGTACAATCTTTGTTTTCGCGTATTTATGTTTATATGTGCATGCACGCAGGGTACTTAACATTTTGACTTTCATTTTTTTTTTATACCTAATTTTATTGCTATCACATAGGTGGCTCACAAGCTCTCTAAGACCCCTAATGTCACCTAGGGACCCCTAAAGAAGCTCGTGAAGCACAGATCTTCTTCACCAGCTTCTTCCCTGGCTATAGCAGCCAGAGAAATTACAGCTAAAGGCGGAAGTGATGTAATACACATCACTCCCGCATTCAGGCATCGGAGGAGAGATCAGCAGTGGGAGAATGCTGATCTCTACTCCGTTTATAGTGTCAGCAGCCGCTGTGCAAAACCCGGGCCCGCAGGGGGGGCAGCGGAACCTGGGATAAAGAGTGGGGCCGCACACTTGTTTGTTACTATACAAGCGATCAGACAGCTGTAGAGCCACCCAAACGCTTGTATGGAACAGCTGGTACCGGCTGTTTACACTTACTGCAAGCGCATGCAAGCAGAAAAAAAAAAGACGTACAGTAACATTCACCCACTGATAGGTGGTTGCCGTCCGTCCGTTTATTTACAGCGGACGGCAAGTAGTTAACTATTAACAAAAATGTATCTTATTTGTGTATCACTCAGCTGTAGATCCTCAAATCAATCTCTGAATTCATGCTGACACTGTCCTTCCTTCTGGAGGGTGGCTACTTTTGTTCCCCATGGTCCCTGTGTGTGTTGTAAAGTAGCCACCACTCCAAGCTCGCTCCCGTCATGAACTATAATCTCACCTTTTAGTTTACTAATTTGTATTGAGATTGTAGTCCAGCACAGAAGTGAGCTTGGAGCGGTGGCTACTTTACAACACACACAGGGACCATAGTGAACAAAAGTAGCCACCCTCCAGAAAAAAAGGACAGTGTCAGCATGAATTAAGAGATGATTTGAGGATCTACAGCCGAGTGATACACAAATAAGATACATTTTTATTAATAGTCCTTGAATGCATTTTTGAGATTTAACTCCTGAGTTTAGTGTCACTTTAAGCAACATGGGGGTTTTATCTTACACTCACAATTTAAAAAAGAATTGCATATATTGCACTGGCATTTATAGTTTCGCTTGATAAGGAATGTGTGTGGTGTGATGGCTACTTTGTTAATAAAATATAAATATATTATTTTAATGTGTGCTGTAGTTAACTGAATTGTGTACAATAATAAAATCATGGTACTGTAGTTTAAATCCTGTTAAAGGGGAAGGGTTTGTTCGTGCAATCAAGTGTTGATCTATTCTTCAACGCATACAAAGTACAAGGACAAGTGAAATGTTTTATTTTCTATAGTGATCGTTCCCACTACCATACTGCATTGTAACATTTTGGGGAACAAAAAAACCTTTTCATAAGAGAAACATGGAAGCTAGCATAGCTGATTTTTCTTTCTGAAAATGCTAGTTGCCTGGCGGTCATGCTGCCCCTCTGATTTAACACAGCCCTCAAGCTAGAACAAGAAAGATGTTAACTAGTTCTGTCTTTTGCTTGCTTCTGCCAGGCAATTTTGACATTATGAAGGGGCCTGTATGGGTTAAAATGCATACAGACTATATAGAGACACCATGCATTTAAAATATACAGAAATACAAGCATACAGGTCTTTCACTTGTCACATACATTTTAGCACATTGTCCTCTTCTGGAATCTCTACTCCTCTGTCAGCCTTTCTAGAGTGATAAATAAGACCGTTTTTACATATACCCTAAAAGTAACTTTTGATATCAACCAGATCATTTGGTCGATTACATGACTACATGATGCAGTGGTGTTTCACTGAGATGTTTGCTTGCATGTCGATTTTTTTTACTTTGTTTCATTAACCGACAGTACTAATAGCTGTATAGATTGAGTACATAAAGGTCACCTCCATGGTTTGTGAACTTGAGGAGAAGAATGGCTGGTGACCCTATTTATGCTTCCAGTGATCTTGATGTCTGTCAGAAAACTACATGCTAAACTTCTGCACTCACCCGTGCATGAGTCATTTGAAAAAGGGCTTTGTGCCTGCATTCGAGACATTGCCAATAATGGTCAGATAAAGGTTGGATTCCACCCTCTGCCACAATTACAGGGCCTGTTTTGCAATAATGGTACATTAGTATGAGCATCCTTTTTATCACCCTGAGGCAGCTCAGCATGGGAGCAGCACTATTAAAAGCTAAGCTCTGTTGTTTTGTTTTTTTTCTCCCCCCTAGTCCCTTTTTCATGGCAGTAGACGGTGTGACAAAATTAGGATGTCAGGTCTGGGGTCTGTCAAGGCCCTTGAGCACTGACAGTTGTGTCAGACGTATCCATCCATACCTAGCTGTGTCTGTATTGTCTTCCATGGGAAATCCACAGCTGTGAACCATGCAATTGTAGTGAAGTGTCACAACCATGTGTCTCTTGATGTAAAAAAAGCCCACAGCAATATGTCTGCCACCAGAATGCTTTTTAAAGACACTTCCCCCGTTGTGTAGTTTTTAATTATTATTTGCTTACATTTAGAGGTTGTTTAGCATCTAGGCTGACAATTTCAGTTTGGTTGGTTAATAGCAGTTTTTCTATGCTGGCAATTCATTTTGTATATTTGTTAACAGCTAATTTTTTTTCTGCAGCTAGTGTTAAAATGCTAAATGTTCTTGTATATTTAATTAGGGTGAATATAAGATAAAGTGTTATCATTTTATATAGGTACGTATCATTCATTATTAGTGCTTAAGCATACACTTTGCAAAGCCCACAAGTAATACGGCTATTTCATTGTTACCTATAACACATTTTGCAAGCTTTAGCATGGTTGAACATATTTCCATAGATGGTCAAAGAGATCGTGTTGATGTAGCCAGCCAACACCCCCCTTTCTCCTAAACAACATCTCCAAAGAGCTTTTTCTCTGTGTGTGGACAGATTCTCTGGGATCAAGACAGCAGCTTTGGTTTGCTTGCATGTGGCGAGGGATAGAGAAGAGCAGGAATAAGCAAAATGTTTTAGTCCTTCAGGGTAGATTTCAGACAACTCTACTTGGAATTTCAGTGCAGCAAATGTAGTGTTATCAGCCCACTATTAAACATTAGGAGCTCACTGGATTTGTGGCAGGATTTATAGGAATTTTTCAGTACTTGCATGTTTATTAAAGAGATTTTAATAACTGTACCCCCACATACACATTAAAAGAAAACTGATAGGTATAAAAACATTGAAGATGCCATTACTGACTTGGTTTTGGAGGTGCAAGCTTCGGGGCTATCATCACTACCCTTCCTACTACCTACTGAGCCAAGGAACTGGAAGAAACATGCATATTGGCTGTCGAATCAAATAGTCTGCATATGTTTGCTTCAGATCAGTGACTCACTATGTACTGAAGGAAGAATAAGAATTATGGTCCCAGAGTTTGTGCCTTTAAAAATGAGCAAGCAGGTTACCTTTAAAGGTTGACTTCATGGCTAGTCAGTCTGTTGTTACCTACAAGATTTGCTGGGTCTTACTAGACTTGGATTGCTTAAGCAACCTACAAACTGTATAGATCAGTGTTTCTCAACCGATTTTCAGTCACAGCACCGTTTAAAAGTATGCATATTCTCAAGGCATCTCAGTCTAAAATGTACAAGACCAAAATGGTCCCTCCAAAATCTGTATCCCACATAGGGTTCTGGTATGGATTTTAAGAGGGAGGGGACATTCAAAAGTACAAAAAAAAAGTACCCCCTTCACATCAGAATCCCATCTTCAAATAAGGAGTCCCACTTCAGAACCCCTCCTTCCACATCAGAGCCCCCTTTACATTAGGAGCCCACTACTTTACATCAGTGTCCCCTTTTGAAGCCCTGCCTTCACATCAGAGTTCCCCCTTCACATCAGAGTTCCCCCTTCACACCAAGAGCTCCCCTTCACATCCGAGTACCCCTTGCATATCAGAGTTCCACCTTCACATCAAGAGTTCCCCTTCACGTGAGAATCCCTGCCTTGCCTTCACATCAGAAGTTCTCCCTTCACATCAGGACATCCTTTTACATCAGAGCCCCCCTTCACATCAGAAGTCTGCCTTCAGCATGGAAAGGCATGACACACTACAAAGATTTTAAGGCCCCCCTGAGGAAGGCAGAAGACAGTGTGACCTTCTGTGCTGGGTGGAGAGAGAAATGTGTAAAAAATATTATTAGTTATCCTCTTAAATGTAACTGTAGAAATCTAGTGGAGGTTTGTGTGTGTTTTATTGCCCACTCATGCGTGTTTATGTTTTAGGCATGAAGATAATCAGATACCTCTTGTTGGACGAATGGCAGAAATAAGCAGGAAAAAAAAAATCCTAAAAAATGAACAGCTTTAGTGTCTGCTATTTGCCACATACTGTACATAACAATTTCAACCAACTTGAGCGATAGTTATCTTATGTTTATGAGTACTTGAGGCCCCTTTCACATGGGCTGATCAGGAGAGGATCCGTGCAAATTACTTAGTGACTGTTTGTTATGAAAACATTTAGTGGTCCGCGTCAAATGTTTATACTGTACTTAGCAGTTCTCCCTCCATTTCTGTTTTGTCTGCGTTTTCATCCCTGCAGCAGGGAAAATATAGAAAAGTATCTTCGAGATCCTGATAATCACAGGCAATGGTTCCAGTTTGAAGAGACAAACATGGAAATTTTATTTAAATATTTTTTTTATTTGTTTTTA